CTCACAGGACAAACAACTATCTCTTCAATGAAAATCACCAGGACAAAAAGAGCAGGAGAGACAAGAACCTATGTTGATTCAAAAAATCAAAAGACATGTTAATCTTTTGAACATATAAATCTTACTTGGATTCACAGTCCAATAAACTCTAGAGATTGTAGAACTGTGGAAATTTAAATAGTAATTGCTTACTTAATATTAAGAAATTATTAGCCACTTCAGGTGTCATGACAGAGTTACACTTACACTTTAGGAGTCCTTACAGTCTTATAAACGAAGACTTTTAGTGTCAGGTAAGTGGAGACATATTCAGCTGAAAGGACATGAGCTACCCCTGAGAACCTTCACCCAGCTCCCCCTGGCTGTACTGCAGACAAGCAGTTTCCTGTGGCAAATATAGGGCTCCACCACAACCAAGACGCCACACAGGCCTGGGAGGCCCAGACAAGTGGGGAGGCCCTCCCACGCTGCCTGGGACAGCTGCAGCCACACCCCTCCAAGCATCCGACTTTGTCATCTCTAGCGCCTGACTGAAATGGAGCCACAGACTATGCAACCTCTGGGGCTTGCATTTTATACTCAGCATAACTTTCTGGAGGTTCTTCCAGGCTGTTGAGTACATCTGTGGTAGGTTATTTTTATTATTTATTTCTAATTATTATTTTTATGTATTTGATACAGGGTCTCACTATGCAGCCAAGACTGGTAGTGATCCTCCTGTTTTCAGCCTTCCAAGTGCAGGGATTACAGGCGTGCCCCACTGGGCCCGGTCTCGGTGGCCGGCTCAGTATGCCTAGGGGCAGGACTGGCGTGGCCTGTGGTGCTGAGGATCAAACCTTAGTCCCTGCGCTTGGTTGGTTCTTTTAGATTGATGGATAGTATTTTGTGGTGGGAGTGTGCCAGTGTGCTTAATTAGCCACCACTGATGGACAGCTGGTTGTTTCTATTTGGGGTTGTTATATGTAAAAATCCTGTGAAAAATCACATAAATCTTGCTTTACTTAAATATTTATGAATGATGTAAAGTGATGTCTAGAATTTGCTTAAAAGAATAAGATCATCAAGGCTAGCGTCACAGCTCAGTAGCAGACAGTGCGCTTAGCACGCTCAGGACTCTGGGTCTTATGGCTTGTGTCTAATGGTCCCCTACCGCCTCACGCAGTCATGGGGTGGCTTCTGGAGTTTGTGATTAATTCAAGATCCAGTGCTGGGATTGTGGCTGTAGGTGCTACACCACGGGTAGCTTGAATGCAAGGTAAGGAAGGGAGAGGCTTGCTCTGCTGCCGCTGCCCCTCCTTTTTTAAAATGAATTTTATTTATTATTTCAGGACAGTTTCATTAATGAATAAATTGCATACTATTGTCTTCATAGTGGTTATTCATAGTATAAGATGCAGACATATCCTGTCCAAACGCTCCTCCCTTTTGCTCTTGGTGTTTTGCTGTTTTCTGCCATGAATGGCCGCCCTCTGCCATGTGCCACTCTGCTTTGGAGCCAGCCAAGTATGGACTGAAACCTCCACAGACTGTGAGCTAAATAAACCTTTCCTTCCTTCATTTTGGGCATCAAGTATTTTGTCCCATCAATGAGAGAAAAGTAACCAAGATTCTGGGCCAGTAGCAAAATAAATAACTAAACAAATAAGATGGTCACAAGCCTCTAAATGACCTGCCTGACCACCACATACCTGCACATAATTGCACACATCTTCAAGCAAATCAAGCCTGTTTTTTTTAATCTTGCTGGAGTTAGCTGGTGACAAAGCGGCAGAGCCTACGCCCTCCAGTGCTCATTCCTGCAAGCCTTGCCCAGCCAGCTGGGGTGTCCACCTTCTCCTGGAGGTGCTCCACGAGGCTCAGGGTGGGACGGCAGGCAGCCCTCAGGTTGGCACAGGCAGGTGGGCAATCACCATAACCAAATGCATGAGATGCGTGAGTGCTTGTCTTCCAAAGAGAGGGCTCCTATTTGCCGCGAGCAGGCCCTCGTCACCTAGACGAACACTGAAGGGACCCAAGTGTCATTACCGAGGATGGAGAACCACACGCTCCAGTCAGGCTCAGAAGACGCGAGATGCACTTTGTATTCTGCGAAGGCTGCTCTTGTTTTTAAGCCACTCTGGAGGACGAAACGTTATTATCATGTTCAGGCTGCAAGCTAACAGCTCTGTGGACTAACTCGGCAGGGTGTGGCCTGCTACGTGGCACCACCAGCATACCCCCTGCGTACCCTCCTCTGGGGCTGTGTGACGCCTCCACTCTTGTCCCACTGAAGACACCTTGCTTACTCTCCATATAGGGTCCCACAGGAATGAAGACCATTCTCCCAAAGATATGATGCACGGGAAAAGATGTAGCCCCAACCCACGAACCTAGGAGGGCTGGAGAACAAGCGCTTCAAGGGGAATTTACAAGATGGCTTTCAAATGCCAAATGGTGTGTGGCTACCAATGAGTTCCACTTGGTTGGGTGTTAATGCCTGGACACACATCGTGTTAAGTGACTCTAACCCTTAAATAAAGTTCAGTGGTATAAGTGGGGCTCTGTTTTCAGATCAGACCCCAATATGATTAACAAATTCCAAAGCACCATCTAATCTCACAGTGAAGCTGTAGTTTGGTTATATCAAACATCTCCCCTATTAAGTGAGTCTGTGCTTTAGGATTAGTAACAGTAACGCTTCTCGTGAGGGTGTGATCTGTACCACTATGATTCTGTGGCATTTGGTAAGGGTCTCACTCTGCAGCTTGGAGGCGGGGCCAGAGCAGCATGTGGTGCTGGGGGTTGAGCCCAGACCTTGTGCTTGCCAGGACAATGCCTAGACTGCTGAGCTAGTACTGCAGCCCCTGATTCTCTGGTAAGTAGGAAAAACATGGTCCACTCACACACCTGTAAACTGAAATACATTAGCCAATTCTAGTGAAAACAATTAACGTACACACCGGTTTCTTTGTTTAACAACATATGGGTCACTGACAGAAAGAAATCTGTTGACAACATACATTAGGAAACTAAGAAAATAAGTTGAATTCAAAATCTTGTTCTAAGTCCTGAGGCAGAGCAGAGAGGCCATCAGGAACTGAGCTGCAGGTTGGCACTGAAGAGACCAGTAAGAGAGCTGCCAGCGAGAGAAAAAGGCAAAGGATGAGAACTGGGCCAAGAAGCATGATGGGAAAAATGGCCGAGAGGGAACTGAGCATGAGGGCTGGGCTCAGGACTGGGCACAGGCATGCATTTCAGCTCTTCCTTTCCCTTTACCATTCTCCGGGACTCCTACAACCAAACACACTCTGGGCATGCATACTGAGTCCACACAGGCATTTCAGACTGTTTGCAGTCAATGGCAAAGCACAGGAAGGTGAAATACTTACCACTCTCCTTCACACCCTCAAAGGTGAATATCAAATAGTTTGCATAAAATAAGATGCTCTCGCCAAAATCTTCAGGGCTCTTTGCTTATGCATCACATTACTGTTCTTTGTAACAACTATGTACACCTGCTTTACCGAACCGAGATTTCAGAGAGCTATTTTTGCCATCTTTGGTAGTTTCAAAGAAAGGAGCACATGAGAGAAGGAGGAGGAGGAGGGGAAGAGGAAGGAGAAGGAGGGGGAGGAGGATGAGGGGGAGGGGAGAAGGAGGAGGAAGAGGAGGGGGAGGAGGGAGAGGAGGAGGAGCAGCCATTACACAACCCACAGAGGGAAGGCAGCAACCCAGAAGGGTGGCCAGGAGCTAGCTGTGCCAGCGGGGACAGAGGTATCAGCAAACGTGTGCAGCAGGAGCTGTGTGCACAGCAGAGGAGGCCAGGGGAGGCAGGACGTGGCTGTCACCAAAGCGGGACAGGGAAGCACAGGGGACCACACCCATGGGAGGGAGCAGGCTGAGCTTCAACTGGCAGTGTTCAAGACGCTGTGACAGGTCAGGGCGGAGAGGAAAGGAGCAGCAAGCAGGGGGCAGGCTCTACCAGCTGCTTGGGGTCGAGCCCAGGAGGGCTCGCCAGAAGGCCAGGGAGAGACCTGACCTGAGGGGCAGTGGGAACAAGCCGGAGCTGGTTTTGCCCTCAACAAAGGCCTAGAAAATGGCCCCTGCAGTCATCCCAGAAGTGCTACTTCTGAGAAGCGAAGGAGGCTTCTGTGGGGTGGGAGCCCAGCTGCTAATGTCACGATCAAAGGCATTAGAGGGCGTGAAAATTCTAAGGGCCAATACAGTCATTTTTAGAGGAAACTCATTAAGTTTAATACAGGCTTGGAAAAAAAATAAGAGATTTTGATTTAAGTAACAGATTATTTTTAAGATTAACATGATTGGTTGCGAGGTGATGAATATTTTTAAAATTGTAAAATAATTAGGTGCTGATTTTAGCAATGCAGCAATAATGACTTACATGACTGACAAAGCTATTATCTCTGCTTTGCCAATCTGTTTTTATATCTCCATTTGCTGATCTATTACAAGCTTATTACTAATCCAGAGTACAATGTTTCTGTAAACCCAACTTCACAGACAACACACACTGAAGAGACTAGTGAATGTTGCAACTTGGTTTCTATTTTCATTTCTGGAATACAATTTGGTTTGTTTGTTTTCCTTGTGTTTTTTGGTTTTAATTTATTTTAAAGAGAGTATAATAATTGGTAAGACATAATTTGGCCAAATGCCTATTAGAGCACAGTCACTGTGCTGGTGCCGGAAAGCCAGGCACGGGTTGCCCTAGAAGGGACTCACAAAATAACAGACAAGACAGACACTGAGTTTTAAAAAATCATCCACATGGATCATTCAAGATGGTGACAAGCACTAGTAAGGAAAATTCTAGGTGTTACAGGATCACATCGGCATGTTACAGCGAGTCTGAGTCAGGGCAGGGTTAGTAGGGAAACTGTCTCGGAGCTGCAATCTGCAAGGGGTGAAGGAGCGAAAGAGAAGGGGAATAGGTGAGAGAGGGAGCCGGCTGCAGAGCTGAGCAGAGCGGAAGCCCCGTGCCCCGAAGCCGCACTGCTAACCTGCTGGGTGATCGTGTCCCAGGGCCCCTGTCGCAGCCGCGCCTGGTAGCACTCATGGACTCCGTCCCAGATGTCCTGCAGGGCGAGAGGTCTCCCATCTGTGGAAGTGCATTGAGAGACTGAGTTAGTGACCCACACAACGTGGGCTGCTCGGCGCAGATCCAAAAGGACTGGAGGAGGATTCCGGCTTTCCAAAAATCTTTACTAGTTTACACATGACTTATATGTCACAAGACCACTGTGCGAACATCTATTTTCTTCTTGAGAGAACATTAAACATTTATGCTTTTTTCCCTTGTATCCACCTAACAGTTAAATGTACTCTACTCATCCACTCATTCATTGCCTCCGGGAGTTTTACAAATAAATAAAAGCCAAGTGTGTTTTACAGAGAACTGACAGGCACAAGCACAGGCGAAGCAGCGGCTCACAAGAGTTCCTTATGGATGTCTCAGGGGTCTGAAAGCCTTCTCTGTTTCTTAAAACAAAGAGACCATATCAAGCGCCCTCCTCTGTCCTGCTGATGGAGCGGCTGTAGGGTCCGAAACGCTCAGTTGGGTGTGATGGGCTGCACAGGGAAGGAAAACGCAGGACGCCAGGAGCCTAGCATCTGCTAGGGAAGCCTGGCGGGCTTGTGAATCCTAAGAACAGCGGGCAGAGAGAGGCCCCAGCCGAGAACCAGACGGTCTCTGTGTCCAGAGGAGGCAGACGTGAGTGCCCAGCATTCATGCTGGGTGGAGAGGGGCGCCACTTAGCGTAGCCAGGAAGAGACTGGTAGGTGCTTCAGTGAAGAGTAATTCTTACTTGGTTAAGCAGTTTAAATTAACCACCTCTATTCAGTAACCATTCAAATCGTGTATCTTATGAAGGTCACTATGGCACTCGTAGATAAGAAAAGAAGACCAAAAACATAGGCATATAAGTTCAAAAGTGGAAGTACAAACTAGTAGTCACCTAAAACCTTCAAAACACACACTCTTGCTTGGATTTAGTGCTCTCTGGCTCACTCAGAATTATCAAATGCTCAAGACCATGGGGCGTGCTCTTCTCCATAGACAAGTGTGCACCGCTCCATGTTCAAGTGAAAACACCATATACTAAATCATTAGTCCTAAACTACATTTGATCATCAAGTGAAACAAAACGACATAATCTACTCAAAGATTCCAACCACCCAACACCTCTGTAGTACTCAGAGCTGCAGGATACAAGTAGAAACGTACAGGGTGTGAAGGTAAAGTGCCCGGCTTAGGGCCGAGGCCGGGTCAAACACGAGGCTGGGTGATTACCTGGCAACCTGCCGTGCATCTGAGCACTACTCTGCTTTTCGCTTTACCTGTAAGATAAGGATAACCCTTTTGAAATTTGTTCTCGTGCGGCGTGCATTAGCGAAGGCACCCAGGAGTCTGTCCGGCAGTAAGGAAAAGCTCTGTAGATATCAGGCTGCCCCTCCAGCCCTTCCGTTCCTGCAGCAATTCTCAGGGCTGCACCCCGCATGTCACGCACACTGTCTCTGACACCATGATACGCTCCTCGCATAAGCAGGACATTTCTCATGTTTGCCCTGGAAAGTTGAACTTTTCCTCAACCTTTATTTTCAATAAATAGCAACAGAATATTTTGATACATTTTCAATAAGTATCTTCATCTCGGCATTTATCTGATGGCAAGAGACCATTATCTTGTGATAAATAGTTTTATTCCACTGACATTTCCATGTCTGTAAAATGAACAAGATTTATTCACCCAATTAACATTTGAATGTCATGTTTTGCTACAAGTTAACAACAAGATGCCCTCAGTAGCGGCATTATATCATTTTTCAGAGCACATTTACAGAGTAGAGCCACGCTCTGCTCTCCACAGTGCGCATGCACACAAGTGAGTGTGTGTGAGTGCACCAGTGTGTGTTACTTTTGAGAGGGGCTAATATGGTCTTTAATATCTCATGTGAAAAAGTAAGGAACTGCAAAAAGACAACATGCTTTCAAAATAATTTTTAGTGAGACTGAAAGGATGAGACTACGGATTTTTATTAGGGCAGAGTTTGTGAGGCAGGTTCAGTGACATACAAGGAGGTGACGGGAGACTTCCTGCGTGCACAGGAAAGGTAAAAGGAAGTTGTATCCAGGGCTGGAGTCGGGGAAGGAGGAAGGGGGTCACTGGGAAGGTAAGCTCTTGTTTTGGGGATTCAGCCATGTTGAATCAGGGCCATAATTTAGCAGTTTGTACTGGGGCAGAACCTACCTATGATCTCAAGCTTATCCCTTAAAGAAGTATGTAAGTCTGTACCTTGTGACTTTAATCTCCTTGTGACGTGCCTCTAGGCAGTTTCGGGGCATTCTCATCTTCTGCACTGATTCCCTTGAGGGCCCAGTCCTGTCTGCCTGCCGCCTACTACACTTCTAAATAATTTACCTATCTATAATATTACTAAGCAAAATGTGAGGGAATCTAGTCAAGAGCTGTTACAGTATTCCAGTTGATTTTTGATGTCTTGGTAATAGCAATGAAATTGAGGGGAAAATGGATATATTTGATATATATTTGGAGGATAGTGAATAATAAATGGATTTAGTTTGGTGGGGTAGGCAGATGGAGATATTTTAGGAGACTGAGGCAGGAACCTACATAACTTACTTCCTATCTCAAAAGTCTTTTTTTTTTTTTTTTCATGGAACGGGATTGAACTCAGACCCTTGTGCTTGCCAGGGAGATGCTTATTCTACTGAGCCATCTCCCTGGCCCAACAGAGGATTTTCCTAAAATTTCCTAGTATAATACCTCATAGAATTCACTAGTAAATGGGAGTTACTTTGTCATTATTCTGAAAATAGTTGCTGGCAGAATGATTCTAGTGCCCTTACTTTTAAGGTAACTGGATATTAGAGAGGGAGAGCTTGTCTTTGCCTCAGCCTGTGAAATGCAGGGATTGTGAACCACCAGGCCTGGCTATTATTGCATGCTTTCTTCTAACCTCACTTTGGGGAAAGATACTTACTGAGGTTACTAGCTTCTTATAGTTTAAAAAGCCCCTTGATGAGTTAAAAATATGTAATTTTATATAAAGTATGTTGAAATTAATCTATTATCATCGTTTTACAATATGCAGTTTTACTAACATTAAAGGGCTGGCCAGATAGCTCAGCAGATAAAACAAGTGCTTAGGCAAATTCAGGGACCAGGGTTTGATTCCCTTTGTGTGGGCGGCCCTGTGGGGGGTGGGGTGGGGGAGGGGACTGAGAAGGCAACCGAGACTGGGCGGTGGCACATGACTGTAATTCCAGCACCTGTAATCCCAGCACTTGGGAGGCTGAAGGGAGGATCACTACAAGTCTGATCTGTGTAGTGAGACCCTGTAGACCCTGTACTAAATACATAAAAATAAAGATTAAAAAATAAAGAAACCAAAAATAGAATTTTATGATCCCTGGATTCTTGTTTCTCTGACAGTAAATAAAAAAAAAAAAAAAAAGAAAGAAAAAAGAAATCAAGTAGTGAGAAAGCAAAAGGCTAGAGGTGATCTAACTACTAATTTTATAAATAAAACAATACAGGTCTTGGGAAACACAAATCTCCAAAATGATGCAGTCAGCTCACAACAGAGCTGAAGTTCCACCTCAGGCTTTAGAACTCCTAATCCAGAGCTATTCCTGCTATTCTAGGCTGTGTTGCGGGTGGGAGGGCAGGGACACTGCAAATGCTTTCTGAAACATTTAGGGAAGAAATGGGAAGCCAAAGAATGCTTCTGTCAACATTACTTCCTTTGAGACAGTGAAAGCTTTTCAGACCTAGGGGAGATGCTGGGCTTAATATCTGGCACTTGGTGCTGCTTTTGATTTCACTCCTTAGAATATCTCTGTGGCCATGTGGAGATGCTTAGGCGTCACCAGCAGCGAACGCCTGCACTCTCTTGGGAACTTTCGCATAACATGGAGTACTAAGCAGCCTGCCAACGATGTGGAGCGAGCCCCTGAATGACGGCGTAGAATTTTCATCAGGTGGGATACTAGAATGGAGATTATATACTGTACTATAAGCTTTTAGACACATCAGGTCTACAGAAATGAATTCCTCTTGTCAACCTAGGGTAATAATAATGGAGTTTAAAATAGGTTAAAAGTGTAAGAACCAAATGTAGTTCTACTTATGTTGCAAAATTACTTAAAATTCATAGCTTTTCTAGTTTATTCTAAATTAGTTTTTCTACTTTTAAAAAAGGCAGTATCCATTAGTAGCACTAGGCTTTTCCTGCGTCGTTTAACAAAAACAGAGATTATCATAAATGCATCTCTATATCTCTTTGGTTTTAAACTGATTCTGCACATTACACATGGAGTGCTCAGTGTGTCTCAGTGCAAGAGCACATGCTTAGTATACACAAGGTCTTGGGTTCAATTTGTGGCACTTAAAAAATTATAGCTAGCAAAATATTTTTTCTTGAGATGATTTTGCTTTGTACTTCAGACTGGCCTCAAACTCCCTCTGCAGCCCAGGCTGGCCTTGAACTCACAGTCGTCCTCCTGCTTTGGCCTCCCAAGTGCTGAAATTATAGGCATGTGCCACTGTACTTGGCCACAATTTTGAATGATTCAAAAACCAGCACAGTACAACATCACTGTGCTTTTGCTCTCTTTTCCAAGCAGTCCCCCAAGTCAGAATTATTTTACATTGCTCACTTCTCAACCTTACATCTCATCATGAAAAATATGGGCTGTTACTGTATTCCAGATTTCTCTGCAGTCTGTGACTTTCTTTCCATCCCTGCTATACAGGTGCTCCAGTCCGAGCCCTTGGAAACGGCCTTCCTCAGTCCTCCAGGCTCCAGTGCTGCTGCCCGTACCTGTCGGCTCCAAGTACGACCGATGCAACTTCTCTGCTGAGTGCTGCTGTCTTGTTCCCCTCCTGCCACATACGAGGTGCAGACACAGGTGATCCAGTCCCACCAAAGGCGCAGTCCCCACCATTCTTCTTGTGATCAGCCCTTTGTTAAGGCGGCAAATCACCCCTCCACACGCTTGCGCGACTCAGTTTTGCCTCGGAGCTGTTCAGGGGTTTTCCCGACAAGCATCTCCTGTGCTTCTGGTGCACTCCTAAT